GTTGCGTCCCAGTCCTTTGTAAGTTTGGGTCTAGTTTAGAAGTACGGTGTGTGCTAGAGGGTGGTCAGTACAGAGTATCGTATGTTAGAAAATTCTGAAAGATAAAAAAAAGGTAAACAAACGATTTCGATAGAACAATGAGAAGACGGAGTTTATTTGAGAAATGTGATGTATTTGCGCTATGCATTTCGAACAATCTGCTCACACATATACTTGTCAGGGCTTTTAATAATTAAACCAAAGGATCAAAATAAGAAATGATATTAACCGTGGAATTAAAATAATCTGATGATCACAGCTATGATTCGATGGAGTGAGGGTTCGAACTTATTATAAAGGAATTAGATATTGTTATTTGAAAAATATGTTTTTGTGTGGTTAGAATAATTTATAGGTTAGTCAACATAAACTGATATCCATACATTGGCAATTCAAAGAACATCGAATAGTTGAAAATACGAAGACCATTTGATTCCGATTTGTTGAGATTGTGACTCACCATTTCTGGCTTATCATAAAATTTGAAAGTCTCGAATTCAGTCCTATATAGGGTTGTGGAGATACATACTACTTTAAGGTCTTAAATTCACAAGAAGCAGCTGTCCGGTGTTCTTCAGTCTTCAGATTAAGTTCGTCTGTAACACACAACAACATCATACGTGTTAGTAATTGAGTTATTTAAAGTGTTGTTAGACTGATGACTAGATGATATATCATTAATTCCGACAAGTCAGTAAAAGAAAACCAACTGGTACTGATTTTTAAAAAATATCTTTCCTCTTATAATTCTACATATTGAATTCTGCGCGTGATTTAAACTCCCTCTGCCTCTGCGCACAATTACGTGATTGTCTTGTGACAACTTCAAATGTGCGTTTGTTTGAAATCATACACTTTGTATGTTAGTTTTTCTCCAATTATCAACAAAAAACATGAATTTTTTTTGGTGCTAATCTTTTTAAACCTTATTAATCCTGATTTTAAATCGTTCAGAAGCGTACAAAGTTTATGTTATTAAATGATTGATAAGCAATATGAAGTAGAAAAGAACTGTTTGATAGTAGTATAATACAGTTTCTTGTAAATTATCAATATTAAAGTGTTAAATTTCTTGAGTAAATCCAGTTACTAGTGAAAACAACGTTTTACACAAGATTATTTTTATTGGTTTTAAAGAATTATTTTTTTATAAAAAAAATACTTGGATTGTACACTGAATTGTTTAAAGAGAATAGTAGATTTCTGATAGATTAACTTGAATCTTAATTGTTGGATTATTATACGTTAAATGTCTATTTTATCAACTTTCGTTTTTAAGCAACTGTATACCATCAGCATTCATTTTAAATAATATTCAGTTTAGGGGTTGTGGAGATTGTTAAGTTTTTGATTGAAATCATGAACCGATTGATGTTAGACCACCATTGAAAACCTGGAAGCACTGGACGGCCGTTTCGTCCTATTGTGGGACTCGGCCGTCCAGTGCTTCCAGGTTTTCAATGGTGGTCTAACATCAATCGGTTCTTGATTTCAATTAAAAGAATTTTATTTCAAGAAAATGTTTCTTAGTTGTTGAATAATAATTATTGTTTGTTGATATTGTGTTCCAAATCGTATGGATAGCAATCTCCTTTCTCTTTTTCTGTTCGGTTTTCAAATATAGGAGATTTTAGCATTAGTAGTAGGTCAGGATAAATTGTCGGAGTATCAGTCGTATTGAACTCAGTCAGATGGTTTGTACTAATGAGTTCATTATCTTCTAAACTAATAATAACTAGACAACTACTAAATGAATTAGTAGTACTTCAGATTTTAAACAACTTTAAATAATTAAGCAAGATACATGGACTTTTGGAGGTTTATATGCTCATCAGGAGTTTGATGGGCATTTTTACAAAATGGTGGACGTAGTAGACAATCTAAAATTCCCAAACCATAATTAGCCTTTATTAACACACTTATCCATTCCAACTGAGAAAAAGCCTATTTAAAAAGTTCTTTTTAAATTAAACTTTTCAATTAAAATTACCATAAATCATTCCTTAACTTGTGTATCTTTAACAAAAGTACAATGATTTAAATAAACCGACTCTGCTTGATTTCAGTGATTTCCCGTTTGATCTTTGTTTGCAATAAAAAGTGATTTGGGGGTGGGTGGTTACGATACGGCCATAAAAAATTCATTAAAATATGTATTTAACAATAACAAGTACCATTTATCATGTATTCTCATGCTGTTGTCCAGATCAAAATAGCTTCCTCATTTTTACTTCATGCATCACATTCTTATGTTAAAAACGTTTTATTAAGTGGTTCACGATATGTTACATCCTTCATCTATTCACCCAATAATATATCGGAGAGGATTTGTCCTGATCTAGGTTAAGGCCTTGACACGAAAGGCCAACTGGTTTAAGCTTGAGTCCAAAAATGAGTGGATCCTAATCGAGGCTAATGGCCTAGGGCAGAGAGACGAAAACTATCCTGTCACCTGATTGGTTTACAAGTGAGAGAGAGACGATGAGTCAACTGGCACACTACCAGATTTATTCCTGATTCCCTATTCAAATTAGTGTTAAAGGATACATGAATAAGTAGATGACTAACACAACAACGCACAAACGACTAGGAAAATACACTATGTCTAAACTGAGTAGAAAAAATAGAGTACATAAGGTCATTTTTAAATCACAATAGCTTTGGAACAGTAAAGGGCATGTCGGTGAAGCATTCATCAAACGAAAGTTTATGGTTTATAGAACAACTTATGACAAAAACAAATGTTAGTATTTTACGAACTATGGGTTAAGAGAAATAGTGTTCCCAAAAATAGCTTCCGTTATTTGTCATGGCTTCTTTATTTCTCTGTTCACATCATGATGATTAACAAGAAGTCTTGTATCTAGGTTTTGCGCTAGTCGACAAAACTTGTCCCTAGGGTTCGGACCCAGTATCATAATCAGAGATTTTAACACTGAACTAGTCAGAATTTGACTGTTCTTCTGTTGGACTCATGTTTTCTCACAAATTGATTACTACTAGTTGATAACCGTTACTTTGTCTGGTTCTTATTGTTGATTATCAAAGTACAGACTATTTTATATGAAACTTTATTTAACTCATATACCTGTGAATCACATGTTTCTTTATATGAAATAAATGAAGTTCGACTGTGTGATTATCATTTACTTTACAAATAAATCTATATTCATAAGCTCTAGGCATCATAGTATTTCCTCTATCTCTCATGGACTTCCAATCGTAATAGTAGGAAACTGAACAAGTGATCACAATTCTTGTTCTAACTTCCGATTCATACATGACTCATGCATATATAAATGTATAAATGAGTTACATAATCATAGTAAACATCCAATATTTTCAGTCTAAAAACTGAGTACCATTTTTAATTAGCTGACTGGTATTTATTGTGAACACATAAACACTATGACAATAATTAATGAATGAAAATTAAGTTTTTAATTAGGATCATATAAATAAACAATAAAATAATCGTTCGATAAATCAATATTATGAGTATGTTTACACAGAAACATTCTGAATAATATTTTAATAGATATATGTTGGTGAAAAATACAGCGTTTGGATATGTACATTCAGTAAATACTGAAACAGTTACTTATTGTAAGTTTAATTCCTATTCCATCTATTTTGGCTTAGGCAACCAATTGGTAAGTATCACTAGATCTCAGAAAAATTGTGACTTTCATAGTTGACGACTGAGTAAACATGTACCAGGTAAATTAGTTATATTATTATAATATTATCAAGCTCACAGATTGTGTAGTTTGATGCTAAAAACTATCTTATAAAAGGTAGCTAGTTAACTTATTGCTTATGTTAGCACTAGGAGTTTGTCGAAATTGTAGAGCATTATGGTTTACATTACAGACTGTTCTTTGCTAGATAACCATTTAAAAACAGAAAGCTCTGGACATCTGTTTCGTCTTAATATAGGGCTCAAACCGAACCCGCGACAAATGGAGTCCACCTATGTCGAGAAATTACTCACCAATGTCATTTTTTGATGGCTATACAATATTATTTTATTTATTAAAGTTAGAGGTGTACACTATTGATTGCTAACTCAGCGGTCTGAAAGTTAAGAGCTCTTTATGTGGTCTGAATGCTGAAGATTTGATCTCCTCCGGCGTCATGGGTACGCGCTGGCATGAAGTTTCATGCTAGGTCGAAACAGCTGTTCAATAATTTCATCAGATTTCTTCTGGGTGTCTAATTAGTATCAATACATGATGTAATTTAACAGTTTCCACAAACTTTACTAAGATTCCTTGCTTTTTCTACTGTATCAGTGTCTTGTAATTCATCTTCTTTCCAATTCACTTTTGTCAGTTTAAATAAATTGCACAGGTTGAAGGATTATTCGACAGGAAATAATGTACCGGATTGATATGTACTTCACATGAAAAATTAGAATCTTTCCTCTTTCATTCCAACTATATGGTTGGATGTTTTAAACAACACTTAACTAATCTATTTTTGTATCACTGATAAACATAATGGTGAAATTACATGAAGTCGATAATTGACGAATAAAAAATAACACTATGTATTTCTGCTTACTCTAGTTAAATACCTCAATGAACATAGAATTACATTCCAGAAATAATCCATTACGTCTTTCAAATAATCTGTCTGAATCGTGATGATGCAATTGTGTATTTCTCAAGATTGGTCTCTTATTCTTTTCCCTGTAATGTCAATTTGATGCCAGACTGAATCAATCCTACATAATTTTACAGTGTGATAACCACACACTGGATATATAAAGTTAGTCTTCATACTACAAATCCATGTTTTGCATCCTAATGTACAAGGATGGTTACATATTTAACGAAACGACATTCATATCTTGTTGACATGAAATGCTGATCCTCTAAGGAATGTTTTGGAATGCGTATATTACTAACTATTTATTAGTAGTTGATTGCTTTTTATAAACATGTTTTGGATTTTAGTAAGAAAAGGTCAAATGTGGTTACCAGGTGCAATCACTTCTGCATTTGTAGCTTTTCTAACATGGTCAGCTTTAGGCAGTCAACCAAGAAGTGAGTTAAACTAAATTCAAGAATTTCCTATTTTCATGTTTTGTTTTTGTGTGGGCCAGTTTTCATTATGAATTGAGATCTTCTAAATAAATACCTCTTGAATTTCAGTATATGTCAGTCGTTATTGTATTGTCAGAACCAGACAGTTAAGTAGATTTTTGGTTGATCCCAAACGTTTTACGTTCTACTGATCAGCATATTCACAAAATTCGCCACGAGATCTGATGGTCCTGGATTCAATCTTCAGTTAAACCGTTGGTAGACACTGCTAAAGAGTAACATACTAAAATGAAACAACTGTCCTTTTCTTTCCAACTCTCAGTGATTTTTTGTCTAAAGTCAATTCGATATATAAAACTTCAAATTCGATACTTTGCAGAACATACTATAATAGCCATCCTATTGTTTGAATTTTCAAATTACATCATATTTTGCTGCTATTGTTTTGTTAATATCAAATTGTTGACCTTATAAATTCACATGTTTCATCATGTATTTCTCGAGTAGGCAGTCACTGAGTTTAACTGGTTCTGTGGGAATGTTGTCTTACGTTTCGTATGGTTGTTACTGAAAAAAATTATTATGTGAAATAAATGAACGCTTATAACTTCTGTTAATAGTCATTATCTACATAGGTCGGGGTTGCATTTCGTTTTAGATCCTTTGATCATCAGCAATTCAGTGTTTTAGGATAGATAACTTTTTAATACACATAAAGTAGCGCTCTTTTATTTGATCAACACACCGTTATTTTGACATTATTTGGATACTTGGTATATTGTTAGTATCTCTGTAAACTGGTTCACGGATTTAACCTTATGCAACCAGTGTTTTAAATATTTCAGTTATTAATGGCTACCAAGCTTTACACTTATACAATTAAAACACAATTGTATGAACGAAGAATATTCTTTTCAATAGTTTCTCATCAGGTTCTACAACTATAAATCCAGAATAATAATCCATAAAATTGGCCAGATTAAATTAAATAGATAAATAGATATATAGATATATGTATATATGTAGTATCATCTGATTTCATAAGTAGGCAGTTTGTTCTTGTAGATATAGTGAAAGAATAAACTCAGAATAATTATATTGTGGTTCTCTTAGTCATTTAAATATTGTCTGACTTTCCTCATATATGGAGGTACAAGTGTTCATGTTTTTCTGAATACTTCAAATGTTCATAGTTCAAATGCATCTTGAACACGTCTAGTTCTTACAGCATAAATCCACTTTACTACACCAGATACACACTGGGTAGCTAATTTCCTAGATTTTATTTTAGCAGATGAGAAATGATATTTGGATTCTATTAAACCAGCAAAGCATTAAAAAAGATATTTGAACTACTCGAACAAGAAAATAATGTTGTTAACTGAGGTTAACATTTAATGATTGCATAATAACACTCACTGTTTACTGTTAGACTGCGTTAAGAGCTTATACACAGTAATATAAACCAATTAACACATTAATCATCGTAAATCTCCTTCTTATGTCTATCCTATATTACTAATAAAAACATCGCAACTAATTACTATTTCTTCTATGAAGTTTCAATGTTCTAATCTTTTATTAAATCAGCCAACAAGTTTCACTAGCTAGGACTAAATATTTTGTCCCGTTAATATTTTATTCATTTCTGAAACTCCCCTACAGGATCCAATTGTCAATTCACTTTTCCTAGCGTATGTAGTTGACCTATAAGAATTATTCTCTATTTATCTACAGTCTTCACTGCATACGTTTCCTGACATTACTGGTGGTAGGTATTGCATCAAGCTTAAAAGCAAAGCCCTCTATTCTTTGTTGAATTCCGGTAAATAGTCTCTTGCATGTTTTTTCGATAAACGCGACACTAAGAGCTTGGAAGGATAGAGATATACGACATTGATGTTTATTAAAGGTTATCATCACTTTTTTCACATTCAGCACTTGATTTTCAGTCAGTCCTTGTCGAGATATGTACATCCTGTACGGATTACATAGGCATACTCATCTTATCACAAGTTGGGTTAGCAGTGATTAGCAGTGGAATCCATGATGAGCGCTTCGTTCTATTTGGAACTTGTCAGCCTCATATACCTGGATCCATGTTAATATTCGCAGTGGGGCTCGAACACAATACTTTTAGCTCCAAATGTGGTGTATGCTACATATGTCGACAGACAAAAGAAGTATGTAACACTAATCAGAAGTGGAAAATCTGGCAGCAGAATGCCTAGAAGATTGAGTTGGAAAGAATAGAAGGGAAAATAGAAAGGAATTATGAATTTAAAGAATCATACAGAATGTGGAGGACAAATGATGGAAATTTGTAAATGAAGTATTCAGTGTATGGTTCTTATATTTTATCAAGATACTCTGTAACTTTGTATTGAAATTCACGACACTGATAGTGACGCATTAACCCCTAAGTTACTGAGGCCAGATATTCACTAGCATGTTCAACTGTTATGATCTTAATATCATTATCAGTAAGGATTGGGATAATCTCGTTGATGACGTACAAGACTGGATTTTTGTGGTTATCTGGACACAATAGCTCAATGAATAATCTGTTGTGACTTAAATCACAAGGTACCGGATCGCAGCCTAAGTGTGAACATCAATATGCAGATCTAGGTACATTCACTATAGAATGTTAAAACCCAATGTGTTTCCTGGATTCCACTACTAACCACAATACGTCTAACCTGAGAAATCGTTGACGTTTGTTGTTTATTAATTCAAATTATATATCCCCTGTTAGGTCTTTTTATTACGTTGTACAATTTTCCTTTTATATATATTTATTACAGTTTTATCGTCGAATTTTCCGTGGCAGAAACAAACAGTGAAAAAGATGAACGATGTACAACAGCGAGATCGAAATCTTACTATTCATCCGCTAGTTGTTGTTGCAGATCAGTTGAATCGTTTATTATCTGATCAATTCACTCAAACCACTAATCAAGTCAAAACATCACCAGCATTGACATCTGAATCGAAACCAAATATTACTGACTCAATTGTTTTAATTAATGAATGCCTACCTGGTGGTGTGAATAAAATCAGTGAACATTTAGGCAAAGATATTGTTACATTGTTAGGAATAACAGTTGTGATCAGTGGATTTGTATATTCAAGGTAAGTAACATTAATAATTGTTAGTTTGGGAGGTTTGTAGAATTGAATTTTGTGGCTTATATTATACACTGACCTTAGTTAGATTAGTGATAGTGACGGAAAAGACAAATGTAAACCATTAGGTGCCAACTCAGTGGTTTAAAGTTTGAGCTCTCACCTCAAGATCTAGGTTCTAAATTTGATCCCGGTGGAGTAGTGGATGTGTACTACTGAAGAGTTGCGTGACAGAATGAAATATTTGTTCAATATTTCCTGATTTACTATAGTTTTCTAACTAATATCGGTTCGTGAAATGCTAAACTTCAAAATATTTATAATTGTTTAGTATAATATGTATATTCTAATTACAAAATTTACAGACATAATTAAGTCGGTACAAATATGTAGATGTCAATTTTTTTGAAACATCTCGCTTCACTAATTGTATGTAAATGATTATCCAGTTATTTTACTCTTAACATCCTTTTATTTGTAAACATTATTGACGATGGACAGTATAAAAACATAATAATTGTTAATAAGAGAAAATACACACTAATTTATTCGCCTTTACAATGATCGATTTAAGGTATATACGCTATCCATCAGGAAATATGCTAACACATTGATGAAAATGAGTGAGACAAACCTTTAAAAAAATGGTTACATTACTTGAAATTACAGATATTTTGTTTGGGTTTGTGACGAATCTAAATCTTAATTTTTGTGTCCAATTTCCCTTGTAAATTATAAATTTGACTTTAAATAGCTGAGGATAATCCATGAGGATACGTAAACAGCACTTACAAAAGTTTGTATATTGCATTTATCAGTTATCACATTCTTTCTTTGGGACACTATTGGACATTATGTCAAGTTTGTGTAGTCGTCAGAATCCTGTCTATCGAGTCGCAATGTGTCCACTACCCCAAGTGACTTGATATCTTATCCACTACATTGAGTCACATGAACAAATGAGCCACATTACAAGTCGTTAGGTGGAATTAAATCAGCACTAAACGATTAAATAAACATGACATCGTTCACTTTTCAGGGATCAACGAATTATAAATACCTCAGCCCTACAGCAGGTCATTCGCAACCGAATAACTCAATTGTTATCTCTCAAGCTGTGAGCCTAAGTGACAGGTTCGAATACCCCAGCGATCATCGGCTCTCTCAGGATTACAGACGCGTCTTGTTAACAAGTGGCGATCGACACAAAACCTAGGTCCATGGTTCCCTGCTAACTATCTCCAACCATGTGACCAGTAATCTGAAACGCAACGTTTTATGCAATATGTTATTGATTATTGTACTAGACTTTCAACTAATAGGTTACAAATTTAAATCCCGATCCACGTAGTTGAATTTTGCCAACCGAATAGAATTCAGATACACAGTGTAGTTCAATGTCTAGTGCATAAGCCTATAACTGGTAAATAACTTACAAATCAATTATATAAATGAATTCATAAATACATTTTGATGCAAATTAGTTACATAACTCTCGATTTTTTTTCCTCATTGTTAGGCATATATAATATTTGCAAGCATTTCGTTAGTTTATTTTTCCTTGTTAGTAATGAATACTCTTATTATACAGCATAATGATATCGGATAAGTGTTTTTCTTACATTGTTAGCATAACATCCAATAAGCTTTTCATATATTTCTTTTACATATGCATATTGTTGTCTTGTTTTTTTTGTAAATGGACGATTAAACATCGAACTGTATCCATTCATTGGGTGTATTTATGCTATAATGTAAATTAATTATAGTTAGACATCTATTAATTTTTTTATAGTTACGAATTTATTGTAACTTGATTACATTTCTATCATGTTTCACTATTTCATGTTATTATTTATCCAATTCAATAATCAAAGTCTGGGTTTAAATCATTGGCTTTTGGATCCTACTTTACTTCAAGTGATGATTATAATGATCCTGTCCAATTTTCTGAGATAAAATGAATACAAGGGAATTAGAATTTATAGTTTAATAGTTAAAAATCAAATGCTTGAGTTACTAAAGTCTTACTGTGTTATCTTGAATTAGAAACTAAATTATATCTCATTTTATTTTTTGTGTAATTTGTTCTAATATTTATTTTTGACAAAGTTTGTTCAATTACTGATCAGTACGTATATGAACTGACCTAATAATAGTTCTTGAAAAATTATTACAATATTATGGACTGTAAATGAAGATAACTCATTGGAGAAGACAGTTTCATTGTGGTACAAAGTCTGGACGATTGTCAACTTGCAATCTTTGTGGAAACATCTACATTTGATATCTCTTGAGCTTTTCATCAGTAATTCAATATTTCGATGATTAATAATTAAATGGATTTAGAAAAATTGTCTTTGGTTGCTATCGTAACAAAATGTTTGTTTTGGTGAGATACAGAAAACTCCTCGAAAAAAGCCAAAAAAGGCTTTAAAAACGCTGAGAAGCATCTTATCTTATCTTAGATGTTTTGCGCGAAACATCTAGAAAGTGAGTCGTCACATGTCGAGTTTTTCATTGGGTGATTACCTATGTTGCTACAATGTTTAGTAGCGTTTCAGAACTTTCCGGAAACCCAAGGCCATCGAAAATACTATGAGGCCCTGGATTTTCTGTGCATAAACGAACATTGGAATGAAGCATTTCTTCCATATTTCACGCCTTTTCTCTCGTGTTCAAGTCGCTGTGTAGATTTAGTCTGGGGGTTGCTAGAAGAGCTTGTGAACCAAATCTACCGTTCAATTAGAACACTTATCAGGGGCGTCGGGGAAAACCACAATGAACATTTCTTTGGAGCAACTAGATGCCTATACGAAGCATCAAGAGAAGCGGTTTGAACAGTCACAAATCAGAATCATGAAAGCCCTTATGCAGAAAATGTGCTTGTCCCAGCAAAATCCAGCTTCTGGTGAATTACAAGTATCTCATACTGATTCAGTCATTAATGCGACCCATGAATTTAATTTTGATGGTGTAGTAGGTGTTACTTTTGGTTCAATAAATATGAAAATCTGTTCCATATTGATCTCTGTAGACTGGATGACGCCTCAAAAGTCAGAATACTTTTAAGAAAACTTGGGATGACGGAACATGAACGCTATAGTAACTTTTTTCTTTCAAAGAACTCATGGGCCTTTAATTTTGATGAAACAATTAAAACCCTGTCTCACATCTTTGGAGAACAGTCATCTCTATTTAATATCCGTTGTTAATGCTTGAAGATAACGAAATAACCAGATGACTAGGTGAAACATTCAGGAATTGTGAACGAAAAATGTGAGAGATTCAAATTGTCTTCCATGACAGAAGACCGGTTCAAATCCTTGTATTTGGCTGCAGCCTGCATTCACCCGAGGATATCTGAAAAAGAATCCTAAACAAACTTGAACATTGTCCCAGCATTACTCTATAGGATGTAGCTAGCGAATGCCAAAGATTAGTCAAGTTGAAACATGAAACCTCAATGGTCAAGAGCAGTGTCCGGTTTCATCACGTCAATGCAGTCAAGAGAAAAGTCTTACAGGGTTCTAGCACGTAGAATTATCGTAATGACAGCGGCAAACCATCATCCCCATACTGGTTATGTGGCCATTAGCTTTTCAAAAGGTTTTGTCCGTTTGAAAATCATCGTTGTACTACGTGTTCCAAGAAACGACACGAAGAAAGTCATGGCAAAAGTCGGAAACGCCGTCAACCGAAAGTGTATTCTAAAAGATTCAAGCCCCGAACAACCAAAGTAACCGTAGCTCTCCAGAGAACCGGCTGATGAGTCCCGAATGGGACGAAACGTGCGTCCTGAATTCCACTGCTAGCCACCATCATCTCAGCTTATAATGCTTGTGACTGAACTCAATATCGAAGCAATCTTCATGCTATGCGCATATGCCAATAATAGACTGATCAACTGCAGTCCTGAACGTCCATGGCAAAATTCAAGCAACCAATACAGATTTGAAATAACCTGTTATCGTTTATGCAGTTTTTCTTGTCATTAAATGTTTAAGAAATTAGACTGAATCAATCGAACACTGTCTGGCTATAGGATAAAATGTTCAATTATAATTTACTAATCTAAATTATCATAGTATGATGGACATAGATGTTTGAACTGATTATTTCTTTGCTTCATTATTATTCACTATAAATGAGATATAATTAAAATATTGAACATAATTTCAATTCTCTTGACAAACGAATATATCAGAATGAGTTTTGTGGATATTTTTAAGAAATTTCACAGGTTGAAATCATGAGTCAATTGAAGCTAGACCACCATGGATAACCTGAAAGCACTGAACGGCCGTTTCGTCCTAGTATGGGACTCCTCAGCAGTGCGCATCCACGAACCCGCCCCCCGCGGGATTCGAACCCAGGACCTACTGGCTTCGCGCGCGAGCACTTAACCATTAGACCACTGGGCCGGCGTCCAGCGGTGTTAATGTCTAACCTCAACCAATCCACGAAGTTGCGCCACCGAACACCATTGTCTTCAGTGAGCTGATATCTCACAACAGACCAGGTTGAACTCCAGTGCTTCAAGGTTTTCCATGGTGGTCTAGCTTCAATTGACTCATGATTTCAACCTGTGAAACGAATATATGTTGTAACCTGTCCTTTATATTTGCATTAGTTTATTGAAAGTTTTAAAATATATTTTAACCGGATTAAATTTAATTATTCATGATGGACAGAAACAAAGAAAAAAATACACTGCACTTGATCGTTTTATTTGTTCTTTTTAAAAAATACTTTTAAAGATCTATTTATGACAGTGAAAGTCATAAACCTGACAGTTTTTTAATACCTTCTTAGCTGTTAAATGATAATGACTACATTTTGATGTTTTTTACTTTTTCCTTCCCCCCTCCTCTCATATAGTAGTAAACTAATAAAAATCATTTTTATGATTAGTATTCAAGATAATTTTTATTTCTGCGATGTTTTTTCTCTTGTTTTACTTTCTCATAAGTGTTGTTGTTATTTCGTTTTCTGGTTTAATAATATTGGGTCGTAATGATGGTTACCCTCTAGTATTGGAATGTACAATCAGACTGATTTGTATGCACATATCTTTCTAAACCTAGAATATTGGTTCGGGACTAGTTTGTATCAGTAGCTTATCTAAACATAGTGAGTAAATTGATCAACTGATATGACAACTACACTAGCCCTTGGAAAATCTTGGTATGATGATGGATACGGATGCATAATTGAGTTTCAGCGATTTGCACTATCCGTGACTTGATATCCCTCTACCTATCAAGAAAACTTAGTACACAGCATTCCTATTTATGTTACTTTACATTGGTGATATATTTTTTATGAACTAAGAAGACTTGAATAGGTTGTTAGTATTTGATAAATCCGATAAATTTTTTGGTTATAGTATAACTACGGAGTGAATTCTGATTAGATAGAAACAGTAAGTTGGTTGATAAGAATATAAACCTTAATCGATTAGTATATGTAAAATGTATTTCTCGATATACACTATTCCGATATGCAGTACTGATGAGCAATGGAATAAGTTGGATGAAAGTTTGGGGCGATTAGAGCAAACAGGATATGTACCAGAAAGTTCACATTTCACGGTTTGGATCCTTGTGATAATTATGACCTATAATTGATGACTTTTCCATTAAAACCTAATCTGATCAAATAGTTATTATGTGAACCATCAAACTGTTATCTATTATATATAACATACATGGCTCAAAATCGTTTGCAATGGCGCGGGTGCATCCACTCTTGGTGTTCTCCCAAATTTTAATCTTCTGAATTCTTCATGTCCCTTTTTTTCTCTTTCCAAATTTATTTCACTGTATTATACTCCTTGAATAACATCTTCAAACCCTAATCTTTCTGATTACTGCTAATACTCTTACTACCTCTACCACTACGGGATTTGAGTCGACAACTGCATCTCTGTGGTGTGGCAACTCGAACTGATGTACGTACGTACGTACGAAGTTCAACGTTGTTACTTACTGACTGATATTGCATACCAGTAACAATATTGTTGTTCATTTGTGAGCCGTAATTTGTAAGTATAACTTCACACACTAATGACTAGAGATTATCAGAAATTCTCTTCATTCATTCCAGTAAATGTTAAGGTGTCCATAAAAATTATTATTGTTTAAATTCCTACTTTTCTCACCAAAAAGATCGGAAATTAAAAAAGCTGTTGAAATTGTACTTCTTTCGTATTGGTTCTTTAGACGTAATTGTTATTTTAATGAACTGTTTAATTGACAACTTTCCAAAGTCACTTAGGTAATATTTCATCAGTTGTCTTTGTCCATTTAGTTGTTTACTTAAGAGAGAATACCTCTTCTTTTTGTCATGATCAATCTCTACTTCACTCTTTTTGTTGTTGTACATATATCGTTGAGATGTCATTATGTAACATAGTTATTCGATATTGTAATACTCGTAGTCAATTTGTACTTTTATCAGTATGATCACCCAACCCTTTTTCATTTTCATTAATTTACGTATGAATATATCAACATGAGATACCGTGTCGAGGTTTATCATTCTTGTTTCTAATGCTAATCACTCTACCATTGTCTTTTTGTCTTCATCTTTTTTATTTTAGTTTCCGTGCATCTATGCAAGCAAGACGTTTAGGTATTCGAACACGAAGAGAGCGTTTGGTGAGTATCAGCTATATGTATATATAGTACGAAGTATTTAACAGTTCACACTATGCATTGCAATATCAGTGAAACCATTTACTCGTTTTGATTTCGAAATATCCTACCCGTAGGTATCTTTGATTCAGTATGGTTAAGTAGATAAGCTCGTCAGCCACTTCACTCTTGAAATTTTTACCTTCTGTGATTAGTTAATATTTGAGAAAATCTTGAAGTATATTCAAAACGTTCGTCTAGGTTTTGCTAACTTACGCCACTTGTGGAGTAGCCAAGATGATCGTCTGCTTACGAAGTTATGTACATATTACTCAGAAGTTCACTCTGTGATATTGTATAGGTGTGAGACATGGTCTATAAAAATAGGAGACATGTGAAGACTACGCTATAGGTCATATTAGACTGTAGTTTATGAATCTGTCTTTTAGATCAAATACATCTGACTAGATAGATATAATAAATCCTCAATTCCATTTCCTAGTTACATCAATGTTTATGTCAAATAAATAGGAACAGTTCCATTGTCATTCTAAACATTTTATTAATTGCCATATCCATGTTTTACAGAATAGTTCAATAATCTGAATTAGTTCCTTGAACTTAGTTTTTTTCTCTTGTTTTCATGTCCATATTATTAACACAGATTCCCTTAAGTACAAGATATAGCTATGTAAATGATTTCGAATTGGTTGTCAACACTTTTACCATAATAAACCTGAATTACATAATCGTAATCATTAGATAAAATTTTTAAACAAAATTGTTTATTCCGTGAAATAGAATACATGTAAAGCATTAAAATTATTATACATCATCTCATTAGCTAATACAGTCAACAATAACATAATATTATTATCAGAATGGGTTTTGTGGAGATTTTTAGAAATTTCACGAGGTAAAATCATCAGTCACTTGGGTTCGAATCCCGCGAGGCGCAGGGTCGTGGATGCGCACTGCTGAGGAGCCCCATACCAGGACGAAACGGCCGTCCAGTGCTTCAAGGTTTTCCATGGTGGTCTAGCTTTAATTGACTCATAATTTCAACTTGTGAAATAACATAATGATTATCTATGTTCTTTTGAATAAGTGTGAGTAAGTTTAATATATAAACATATAGTGTGATTTGTATGATTACAATAATGATATATTTTGAATAGTTAAGCTGTTCTGCCTTTGATAAACACCTTTCCACTCTTTCAGTAAAACTCTCGAGATTTTATGCAATGCTTAAAGTAGACATTCTTGTTAACACTTCATAATTAAATCAATCGGTATATTTGATGGGTTTTATATTAATGAAATGAGGATTTTTGCAAACATTGAAATGGTAAGATATTTAGACTGATGATGACCTCCATGTTAGTATGATAATAAACTTGTGCATCAGTTTTTAGCCGTTATATATATATATATATATATGATTGACATAAATAAACCTTTATACGAAAATCTAATTCAATGTATTTCATGTAATTATATCATTCAGTCGGCTACAATATAGGAGCAGGCACACATATGCATCGGTCCAAGTTGCCATACCTCATTAGCACAACAAGATGAACAAAGGATTCATAGTAATTATATCATCTATTCTGTAATAAGGTTTATTTCACACCTTTAATATATTTTTAATACTGAATGAATAAATAAATGAACGAGGTAAACTGTTTAGAAATAAATCCAAGTATAAATGAATAATGTTATTTTTATTAAGTTGAATTTAGAATATTGGTTTATTCGAGCTTATAAATAAAACAGTTGTTCAGTATTACGTAACTTTTACTCATCATAAATATATACATTCTGAAAATGTCAATTCATTACAGTCATGATTAAGTTGATACAAAACACAAAGCAACATTCCAAAACGATAAGGTGACATTATTCCAACAAATTGTGTTCCACAAATTATTTTGACTGGACATTTGTAATGTTGTTTTTGAAAATTGTGAAAAATAAGTTGCATACGGTATATTTTTTAATATGAAGTGAAATCATCTTAAAATACAGTCTTTAACGACAGGATACAAATTATCAGCATAGGGTTGTGGAGATTGTTAAGTTTTTAAGATTGATATCATGAATGGATCAATGTTAGACCACCACTGAAAACCTGGAAACACTGGACGGCCGTTTTGTCATGTGCTCACTAGTGGGCTAGCTTCAAGATGGATTTCCTGGAGTTCTAGTGAGAAGCCGTGACCGATGGAGTTCAAACGTGTTTATTGTGAGGCAGTTACCCATTGAAGACAATGGTGGACAGTCGCACAATATCGCGGATTGGTCGAATTTAGACATTAACACAGTTGGATGCTGACTCAGTGGTCTAGACTTTAAGCGTTCGCGTGCGAGACCGAAGATCTTGGGTTCGGATCTCGCGTGAGGGATCGTGGATGCGCACTGCTGAGAATATAAATTGTTATAATGACTAATTGTGTATGCAAAAGTTGGTACTGTTACATAATTTGTGATAAACATTGTCAGGTACCTTTAGAAGATGGCATAGCTGCAAAGTTATGTGCATTCTATGTTATTGGATGTTAACTCCTTTCCTTGGAAAGTACACTTAACAGTTTATTCACCAGATTTCAGCTGCTCAACATATATACGAACAAAGTTTATAATGCTTTTGCTCAAATTTAGTAAACATTCTCAGGAGATACATAAAATGTTTTGTGGAAATCGTTCGTTCATTGAGTAAACCATCTGTTTTCAAAAAGGCTATGCGTCTTGGTAATCACTGTAAAGGCTCCAAGGATATTGGAAGGACAGAAAAAATTTTTCTTTATTTATGAGGTTATTGGACATGTGTTTGTTCTTTAATTTCTGATCACTGATTCCTTGTCCCGATTATTACTGATAAAGAGATATTGAATACTTGTTATACTTTTTGATAAACAAATCGATCAATAATATTGAATACCCTTAGTTTACATTCTAATTATGTAAAACAATAAACCCTTTCAGGTTCCCACGATATAGGGCGATAACGAAACATTTGTGTAATAAAAATGAAGCATGAAAAACATGAGTGAAGTAATAAATATGCAAAATAAAAACAGTTAAAATGATTTTTAACAAAAATCTGTTTGTCGAGTTTGTCAGTTTATTTCCTTGTATGACTTATAGAGTTTAACCACTGGTTCCTAGCACTGACAATGTCGAAGAAAAAGTTTCCAACTATATAGTATTTGAATACTTTTTGCGATCAATATTTATTGAACTAATATACACATATAATGGGAATTTCTGTTGTTGTGGACTGATATCAGCTTGAAAACTAGGATTAATTAGGCAATTGTTTCATTTCGAGCTTGGAACTCCTCACCATGAACAACGTTGAATTGTCAAGTCAGCAAATTGAAAATGGACTAAAGTTCTAAATAGAAACCATTTTACATTGACTCGGTGATCGAAAAGTTGAACTCTAAGGACCTGAATGTCTTGGGTCCTGTCTCCTGTGTAATTACGGACATGGACTGCTGAGAAGTCCTCTACTAGAGTGAAACAGTTGTCCAGTAGTTACCTGAATTAACTTAGTTCGTAATGTTAACAATAAAGTTGAGACTGTCAGTCTTTGAATTTTGTCTCGCAGCTATTCTGAAGCTGATATACTTGCCAAAAGATTTGATGACTCTGTCCGATGTCACGAGTGCACGGTACGTAGTAGTTACAAACTAAGATGGAAGCAGCTACCTAGTTCTCTTTGATTTTCAGTGTCAGAAAGCACTTTCAGACTAAAATAATTTCCGCAAATCACCTAACCAAATGATACCCATATTTATTGATGTAACTTAATTATAGGAATGAGATGTATTACTGTGGCATATTTCTGTATCAGTTCAAGTTATCACTATACAGCAACCAGATGACTATAAAAAGAGATAGAACAAGTAGTATTATCAATGTTAAGAAAAAAGATTATGCATAGTGAATATGAATACTGATTAAAGAATGAATTCACTGCAAAAATCTATGGATAGAGATCATATCTTGAAAGTTAAGATAAAATAACATCACTTGGTGTTATCTTGTAAACATACTTATCAACTTTAACAAGAATATATACCGTTGGATGTTCCTTTGAAATTGGTTGCATGTTTAAAAGAAGATGAATACTTTTTATGTTTCCTACAGAGTGTCCTTATGCTTTTGTGTCCCCTCGTGGCATAATATACAAATCATATCTTAAAATAAACAAACTATGTAAATGGACGCTTGTTGATAAAACTGTTAGAGATACTGTGTTTTTTCTTAAAGAAAGTAGTGCACTTTGATTAAACAGGCTAGAAAAAATGTCCTTTTTCTGAAGATTGAATTTTATAAATTTCTAAAGTAAAATTTATTAGTTAAAATCAAAATTTCCTCAAATGAATAGGGTCAGAGAAAATAGTTTCTTATAGACGATGTTCTACATTTAAATAAACAAAACAAACCAAATGATCTGGCTAACAGAATGATATGAAACATCATTTAATCAAAAAATATTCTTTCTAGTGATTGGATTCTCATAAAATGTATTGTTGTATGAAGTTTTTTCGTTGTAGAAGTATGCCAGATCGTTATGTACAGAAGCAATGTTCACCTTCACTTTCATTACAATTACTGTAGTTTCCTTTATATTTCTTCATTTTTTATATTCTCGTAATTGCTGTTGGATTGTTTTTTTTTATCCTTAAGTTACGTGTTATCTGATCCTGCTTAGTTCATTGTATACTAAGGTTTTCGACTAAACATTTCATTCATCTATTATTTTTGTACTGACTTCTTCATTTACTATCTAAGTGAGTTTCGTCATGGATTAAAATCATTTGTGGTATCACTGAAAACCAATATACACTAAATAAAGCTAGAACAAACTTTGATGCAGAATAATATAAATTCATCATATTTCGTACTTTCGCATCAGCTGCTTACAACCATATATGTATTAAAAGTTAACATTGAGGTATGGTATAATGTGAAACAACTGACATAGATGAAGCTATCATTATATATATACGCAGTTGGAATTGAAGACATAAGAGGTGGGTGATGCATTAATCAAATGACGTCTGTAGAATGATAAAGTGGATTGTGTGATAATTTTAGAGATTATGAAGGGTTTACATAAGATAACTGGATTAAAGACTGATAAGATGGGTTGTGTAATAATTGGAAAGGACTTGAAGAGTTTACATAAGTTACGAGAATTAAGCGAATGAAAACGTAATAGTGAAAGGATAGTTTTGGTGTACATAATATAAGACCATGTGACATAAACATTAATAAAACAATGATAATAACAAAAAAACTCACCAAGGTAGTGATAAGTTTATTACTGTCTCTTTCTGGATACATAAATCAGGTTTGAGCTTTTTTATTGCTATTGCATCAATATATTTAAAAGATGTTATGTCCTGTTGTCTGCTGATAATTTTAAAGGCTCGTGGCCCGGTGTTAAGCAAATGCCGAGCCATTTTGCCTCTCATTCTCAAGTTTTTTGGGACATGTATTCTCTCTCTTCTTACAATGTATGTGCTTTGGCACATACATGTAAATTGGCAAATGCATTTAGAGGTACCGAGAAAAGAGGACCTGTCGATTTTTGTTTGTTTGAGTGAGTAGTTTGTTACTTATATTATTCTGCATCAATGTTCGTTCTGGCTTTACTCAAATTATTAAAGGAAAACAATAGACATTGAACAGCTTTCTTTATCATAACATGATGCATTGCTCTACAACTTTCAGCTCTCTTAGCGGGCACAATTTCTTTAGACCATTAACTTGAAATTCAATTTCAGTGTTGTATTATAATCATTCAATTGCACCAGTGGTGATTGTCCTACTCCCTATATATGGCTAAATCTTATCAATTATAACTTCATTTTACTCACCATTAGACTCTTTACTCGATTGTTATAACGGTAGAACAAAGTGTTCCCCTTTGCCGCGGTATACCACTATTATTCGACCGGTAAATAGGATCATACTATCATCAAACCAGATACTCGATCGATACACTACATTTGGACGGGATCTCGTTATACCACATACACGATTCATGATCAAAAATAGGGCATCAGACCATATGCTAGACAATACTTAGTTCAACACAATTACAGACAGTTCACACTTTCAGTGAGTCCGATATCGATTCCAATTGCACGAAGGAAACCATATATATTTAGTCCTGTCTGTCTGTCCACGCTCACTGGCCAATCATATCTATAACACGAACTATGCACATGAATACTGTAAAAATAACCTTATTGATCACATTAAACGTTCCATACAAATTTATGATCATATGTGGATTTAATAGTAAAGTTTTTTGGGAAGACAAGTTCTTTGTCAAACTATTTGCTTTTTGTCTTAATCGTGATTAATTCTGAATCAGATAAACCTATTCCACATTGTTGGGATCTCACCACATTTTTACTCTCCGTAATACTTCAGTTATCATACAAATAAAATTTGACACACATTAATACCATTGAAGGAGATCGGAAGTTATGGTAATAAAAATGATAGGAATGTGAATAAAACTAAGAAGATTGAGTGCATTGCCTCAGCTGAATATTGTATCGAAAGTTCGATAAGAGAACATGGGGGGATAGAACAAACAGTTGTATAACGAAAAAAGGTGAAACCAAGTTTATATTGATTGACAAGTATTCTAAGTTGGTTAAAATGAAATTTTAGTATAAAAAACCTTGAATTTATTGTAATGAAATCCGAAACGTTTAAACTTCTCGTCAATAAGGGGAGATGGACCTAACAATCGCTTCCGTATGAACTCATAAACCAACTTTCAGACGTCTAATAGCTATAGTGTTAGCAAATTTAGAAGCACCTGACTTTGAGGCTTGTTAGACATCATAAGGGGATTCCGGGCTGATGTTGATTGCCTGTTAATTACTATGTTTATATGACAAATTAAGTCAGGTTTTTAGATATCTCACTTCTGAATGCATGATATCTGGAATATAATCAATTAAATCTAAGTTGAATTCTCCATTCTAGTGATTATATGCTTTGTCTTATCAAGAAAAGCATTTTTTCTATTTAGCATTCTTCATATTGAACACATTTTCTGAGAATCTATACGCTCTCGTGTTATTTAAATTGTAATATCCTAGCTATGTTGAATTGCTTATTAACAAAGGTATTCACAATTTTAAAAAGAGCAAAAGCAAAGTTTGGTGCAGAATAATATGAATTCATTTTATTTCGTCAGGTTCTCATCAGCTACTTACAACCTGTAATATTTAAAATCAACGTTATTACATATATTGGCATACTTATAGATACGTAGATGGTTAGAGATAAATGTTTATCATGATGTAGCGAACACTTCAATAGAGTTAATAAAGTCATAAAAATTTTTGTTTCGGATGAATAAATAAAGTTTGAGAGGCCAAGTTCTAAAACACAGACGTAGTGATTAGGAATCATTGAGTTAACAAACATTTGATAATTGTGTAATGAAGTAAATGAAAATAGATTAATAGTAATAAAGAAAGGTATGAATTGATATCAGTCAGTTATGAATGAAAATTATGAATTCAAGAAAATGACAATGATGTAATCAAAACTTGAGAAAAAGGCGAAATAATGAATGATGCAATAAAAACGATGTAATGTTACTAGGGCAAAGAAAGATTTATTACTGTTTTTTCTAGACATACAGATGTGGTTTTAGACGTTTGATCGCTATTGCTTCGTCAAATTTCAAAAGATTGGAGTGCGATCGTTTACTAATCACCTTGAAAGAATTCAGTGTATCCACTTGATGTCCTGTATCAAGATGGCTCTGCTGAATGCTTTTAATCCATTTGACCTTAGACTTTTGTAATATGTTCTTTGAATTGGTTTTAGGCTCTCCCTTTTGTTCTACCAATGTAACTGCTCTGGTAGATACATGTGAATTTGCATACACAGTTGGTGGTAAAAATTCCCGAAGATTCTTCGGCCTTTAAACCCGAAAAATTGAGGATCGTCAAAAAATGTTTTGTGTATCCCGGGTTTTTGTTAGAAAATTTTCTCTTTTTTACTGTTTATTGCTCACAGATTATTATAGTTGATCAAGATACATGAAATGGTAGTGAACGTTTGTAGCTCAGTTGGATAATTTAGGTGGAGTTTTGTTCTCTATGGTAGATGGTTTGGTCCTGGAGCCTTCATTGTTTTTCAGTGAAAGCTGCACAACCAAACCATGCACCTCAGAAAACAAAACTCCACCTAGATCTAGATAAATATTTCATCACGATTCTTTATAATAAATTAAGATTACTTACTTCATCTTCCAATATTTTCCCTCTTATCACAGAAAGCCGTCCTACCACCTATTCACGCAAATAGCCAATTTAATGAATCTCCTCTACAATCTTCCAATAATAACAAACCTAATCAGTCTTCCAATCCACTTGTAACCAATGACTTGAATAAATCTCCAATACGTTTTATGAATTATAAAGATGTAAAACGACAAGAGCATGGTAAGTGGATTGATTGTAATAAGTTATTTTTGTGAATTACTCGTAAAAATATATTTTACAATAAGTGACGTATTTTTATTGTTTACATATACCTCATTTACACATGATCAAACTTTAACACATAAATTTAAATTCTTTTCACCAATAGTAAACTTCCACTTTAGAGCGATTAGTTAGTTGATTTTTGAAGCCTACACGAACTTCTTCAGTTGGTCTAGATAAATCTGAACGTGTTTGACAATCAGTAGTAACGATTGATTGTGAAAGCATAATTTCTTGATGAATATGTTCGATCATCTGATATTCAACAGTGACCTTTCTTGACATTTACATTAATTTCGGTCATGGAGCATTCTCAGTGGATATTACGTCTAAAAAAACTGGTCATCTGATGCTTTCATCATTATTAGTAAGCCTTTGAGTTGTCCTGCTGTTAATATCAAGGACTAACTTTAGATCAGTCTTTATTGGCATATATACATTACCCGTTATTTAGGATAGATGAATTGTTGGTAGCGATGGAAACTAGGGCAGACGTTCCTCTCTGTTTAAGACTCGCCAGGTAAATGTGTCGACATCCTATTGCTGATACCCACATTAGAACCGGAACCCAGTGGTCTTCGCCTCAAACGCCAATGGGTCATCTACTGATTTACTGAGTTAAGATATCCAATAACTTATTCGGCAGATATGGTTTTTGGAGCGAGACCCAAAATGACCATTAACACTGGGATTCAGGTAAACCTATCTGGAATGTTTCAAACAAGGCGAAACTTGTATTGTCAACTCCACTCCAAGCCACGATTCACTTATCCTAAATCTCCAACTTATGGTCCTCGACTGTTGGCAAATGTTTAATTACAGTTGGTAAATCTGAAACTATAAACATTGGCATTTTGTGTCGCATGCCACTATAATCATTATTTGGGCTGTTGTATATTCGAAAATGAAACTGTTTTTGTTATGTATCTGCAATAAAAAATATTTTGTGTGAACTTTTAACTCAGTTATCTAACCAGCAGGCTTTCAGCCATTGTATTCTATAATGCAATGGATTCATTTTTACTTTTGTTTTGTGTTAGTCACTACATATTTAGTGTAGCCAATACACAAGTATGTATGACTTTGTTAAGACTACGTTTTTCCATCGATTCTTTAATAATTTGTACTAAACAGTAACGATATTTGCTACTTATGTGTATACTTGGTGGTTTGTGTTAACCAACCAACCATATATGTTGGTCTAAACTACATATGGATTTGGTCAGTAATTTCGCCTCAAAGTATGTGTTTTTGTATTCCGTCCGAAGCGTATGTTTTGATTAACAATCATTTCACTAGCATTCAGGCTGTTATCTTCTATTTAAGTTCATGAATATAAGGTATTGTGACTAGTTGTGTTAAATTGATTTTCTAGTCTCAGTTAAAATCTAGTGGTCAGTAGTTTGTTTTCCTGTGTCAAAAAGACTTTCGTAATATGTATGAACATTTTCATTTGTTTTATTTCACTAAATTAAAGTCACTTTGAGACTTCATCGAGTTTCGTAGTCATATTATTGTTACAACATTTTTACTTTTCTAAACATGTCTCATGGTCCGCATGTTGGTTTTATCTTTTGAGTCGGCAGTCGGAAATATTTTTTTGGTTTAGCTGCTCCATTTCATCTTTTTATGATCATGCACCGTTGGGAATTATTGCGATAACAGTTTTCCAGTCGATTTGGATAGGACGTATAAGAATAATCACTTTGATACCGGTACTGCTTCTTCCAATGTTAAATCGTTTCCCAATTAAATTATTACTTTAAACAACAACAACATCACAATATAAACCGTCATTTTCTACATACTTGAAATTTTTTTAGGTCACATCATTCATTTGAATAAATCTACTTTGAATGATGACTGAAATTTAACATTAGTTTTGATTTAGTAATATTAGTAGAATCATTTCAAACATGCATTCGTTTTTAATGATGGTGGTAATCAAAATTTTGTAGCATACTAATTTTTATGTTTTTTTCTTTACTTCTAAATATTAACTGGTAGATATTTGCAAAATATTTATTCTGAATTACTAGTGTTATTCATAATACAACGATAATTGGATACCGGTTCGGTGGTCTATAGGTCAAAAATTCACATGAAACCGAGGGTCCCGGGTTCGAGCCCGGGGAACGATGTCGTTTCACATTGTTAAGAAGTTCTATACTAGGGTGAGATGGCCGTCCGATGCTTCCAGGTTTTCAATGGTGGTCTAACATTGATCAGTTCATGATTTCAATGAGATTCAACAACCTCCACAACACCATCCTGAAAATTATATATATATATATCTTAAATAAATTGATCAGAAAATATAATCGTTGAGATGATGTTTACAGTATGATGGATACAGCGATAAACTGTTTGTCGCTGACAGAATGTATTTTGTATTATATTACATTATAGTTATTGTTTACGAGTTTTACACGTTTGGATAAATTTTCATTCACTTGTGAATCAATTAGTGGTTTTGTTACCCTCGATTGTTTCATTTATATAGAAAAAGGGTAAAAGTATAGTATAGGGATGAACTAATTTTCAGCTAGTTCCTAGATAATCAGAAAACAGCCCCTCTAAATAGATAGTTTTGTATAGAGAAAGAAAACTATTATATTATAAACTGTGGATAGAATTTACATTTTTGATAAATCTGTTAAAATTTACTACAGATTAATGTCCAAGTTAATTGCAAATTAACATAAAATTTAGTTTCTCAGCCTGTGAAATGATCCGAATAAACTTTTCAGAAACGTTACACTGTTCTTGGTTAGGGTTAGGTATTCAGGGTGATGATCAGCGGCTAAAGGTTAGATTTATCATCACAAATCGACATAAGCTACAATGAGAAAATGCTCTGTAACCAAACAGATTAGTAAAGTAAGTGCAAAATAACAAGAGTCACTACTTGGCTAGTTCGTCCATAAAAACTAGTGCCACCAGACTTAAGGTATGTTTCAAGATGAAGGATTCAGGGATAGTATCGATTTACCTATTATATGCAATCTGCAGAGATAAGTTTAGCACTTGATGCTATCATTTTCACTTTATGGCAGCATAAAGTAATTTGTCGTGTTCATGTTAAACGTTTTGAGCAGTTTAAAGAGGTGATTTTGCCACTCGCTGCACGTATTATTTATATTTTACTCTAGAATCATGAAGTCACATTCTCGATTCGGATTGACTAATACCTTTACCAATAATTTTACCAGAAAAAGTTTATTTTTTGTCTCCTCTGACGCAATTTTTAAGCTATTTTCTTTAAAGTACAAAACAGGCTGATTTCCTGTCCTACAGGGGCCTATAACTGGAGCTTAATTCGTTAACACACTTTTTACATTTTCACTGATCTCTTTTATAAAAATCTGTAATGCGTGTTTTTTGAACATTGTCCTTGATGCAGATCGTTTATAATATAACGTTGATAAAGCTGGGGCTTGCAATCATTTACTTGATAATGAATAATACAACTTAATATGCTAGATAATAGATAGGACACACATTAGGTCACATTTCTAAATAACTCACCAGATTAATTAATTAGACCATCAGGTTAGATCGGATGATAAACAGATACATCATTCCGACCAAAGACTCAAAACAATATATAAGCTGGAACAGTCGTTTATTGACATAAATTCAAAGCAGCCGCACAATGTAAAATCCAGAGCAGAAAAGGATTTATAAATTCAGCGAAATTATGTGTCAATCCAAGACAGACCATCGTTAAAAGCTTTGAAACACTAGTCGGCCGTTTTGTCCTGGTATAGGAATCTTCAGCAGTGCGTATCTACAACCCTGTTTCCGGGACTCGGACCCGAAACCTTCGGTCTTGCGCATGAGTGGTCAACCTCTGGCATCCAATAGTGTTGATGTCACGCCATTGCGCGACTATTCGTTGTCTTCGATAGGTAACTGCCTCACATCCGACACGGTTTGGTGAGAAGCCTCAACCAGTGGAGTAAACAAAAATTAAGCTATACATATTTACCCGAAACTTTGAAATAATGACCACTGGGGAATCAACTAACAAAATTATTACCCTGTTGATCTACTGTGTAAGAGCTGTACGGGACTGTCATTATACTACACCCATTTTGCTAAAACATTTAGAATAAATTATGAAATAATGGAGAAAATTCCAGTTAACGTGTATGCTCCGAGCTCAATAGTTTAATCGTGAAACTTTCTGTGTCTCTCTAAACAAAATTATCAGCTTATACTTTAAGAATGAGTAACCTATTTGAATTTCTTCAAAGTTGACTAACAGCTTACTCTGTTGATGTGCGTTTTTATTAGGTATTGTCTATAATTATAGATAAAATTGACTTTCCGAGGAAGTAGCAAAATAATACTATTTCTTTGCACAAAATAGTGTTGCGATTTCGGTTTAATCGAAAGTTTTTCAGATAAATAAGTGTAGCCATGAAGGTTTCCAAATTATTTAAATACTTCGTTTTGTTTATGTGGTCCATAACATTTACAAACGTTTCTCATCTTTCCTACGAACATTTTATTTTGATCATAATGATTCCTTTATTGTTTATTTTTTAATTGCATTTATGGATATTATAACAAGTTTTCTTATTGCAAACATTAGTAAATAAGATGTTTTTTCCTTCGTCAATTTAGTCATTCCATTAATATTGTTTTCTGATGGTATCCCCAACTATTATTATTATCTTCATGGTTTACACCACAGACTGATATTATGTAACCACTAAAAACCAGAGAGCATTGAATCACTGTCTTTTCCCAATGTGGGACTGTCCAGCGTTTCCCATCCACAACTCAACCGGGGATCATACCGTTGGGTTGTGTAAATCTAACAATCTTCACAAACCGTCTATACTCACTATTATTATTATCACCATTATTATGATCAATTTACTGGTAAATAGTAACGATTTTATCATTGTACCTGCCATGATCAAAATAGCTTTCATACCTTTCTTGTACTCAATTACATCATGGTCTCTCTCTCTCGTGCGCTTGTTCTGTTCACCTATAAATTCAACTTGTGTAAATACTGAAGTACTTATGACTACAATTCACTAGTAAACTTAATGATTTTATGCATGTTACATACCAAAATACACTCGTCAAGCATTTTATTTATTTACGCAAATCAGTGCATGGGGGAAAGATTTAGAAAAACACAGATTTATGAAATGAATTCACTTCATCCCACGATGTTTGTTGTTTTTGCTTAACATTAGTCTATAATTACGTTATAACTTTCTGTTTGCTTGATCATTCCATGTCAGTATTAAGTATGCATGAAATTCTGTCTATGAGAGAGAAGGTAACGAACAAGTATGGTGAATTTGAATTTTTTGAATTGTATCTCTATCATATCCAAGTTTACCGAATAAAAGAATTTTCATCTTATCTCTCAGCATGGTTACTTTTCTGCCTGTTAACTATGATCTATCCCGATCAGATATACTTGATTCATATACAGTTTTAGTGTTTGTTGTATTTCAATAAATAAACTTGTTCTTTTCTTTTCGAATTTATAAGTGTAAATCTATAAAATCTATGATTCGTCAGTATAGTTAGCGTTCGTCTTTTTTCATTCATCTTCTATCTGTTTAGTAGATTTTATGTTGTCTATTCATTTATTTTCTTTTGTTATCATGTTTGTGTGTATATTTCATCTTGAACAATTCAACTGTTTTAACTTGAACTTATCCCAGATATTGGACATATGGTCAAACTAAGGTAGAATCACTAGGCATGTGTGTGTGAATGTATACAAATTAATGCGGTAAAACAATAGAAAACGTGATGTGTTTACAATAAGGAAAATGAATGAAATCACTTTGTTCTTGATTAATTATCTGAAAAATGATCAAAACTCACTTGTTAGTTTAAAACTGATTGTAGTCACTACTGTTCACTAATTCAATAGTTCAAACTGAAAGGTTATTTGTTTCTTATTTGAGTAATGAATATTTGTAATCCATGTGTTTTATTTTATTAGTTGTATTGTCTAAGTTATTTTACTCAGAGATTAAATTCTTCTTAATAGAATTGTTAGTTGTTATGTAATGAAAGATATTACTTTGTTTTTATGATTTTATGTCTGTCTTTATTTTTGACAGCATTAAATCTACTTGCTGACGCTGTGGCTGATTTACCTAATCCAAAGGTTTTCCGTAGACCTTCAGCACGTCAACCTCGATTAAATTTACAAACTCTTAATACATCAGATGTAATATCTCAGAACATAGGGAATAATGTAGGCAATTGTAAGTCTTAGTGTTTAAATTAGATTAGTATATGATTTACTGTAGTGTTATTCAGTAATTATTTTCTCATAACTAATATGTGTGAACGATAATAAATTATTAATGAGCTTATGTTCATGTTTTAGCTGTTAATCTCTTCAAACTGAACTACAAGATTCATCGACCAACTAGATACTCAGCTTTAATTTACTTGTTATGGATTCGAACTCCTTAAAACTCTGGTTTTAGTCCCAACTCAATACATATATGGCTCAGCATCTAACTCACGAGTCTGTATTTGTCACCTTTTTCATGGAACAATTGTTTGATGATGCTGAAAAATATAATTAACAATTCGATAAAATAGTCACTTGTGAAGATGTAATCTGTGTCTGGTTAGTTGTTTTTTTGGCTTGGTAGTGTGGCTGTTAAAAAAATGCATGCGACTCCAAACATTTTCACAAAATTAAACTAATCTCCACTGTCTATGTAAATATGTTCGAGTAAACAAGCGTATACTATCCTAATTCGACTAAATGAAATCCATCAGAATAGCTCACTAGCTTATGAGATGTCACTAGAAAAAGTCAAAATATTTGGATTGTTTATTATCCCACTGTCAATTTTTTCTCATGCCAATATCAGTAATTAAGGTAGGATTTTATTCAGCGAAACATGTGGACGCTCTAACTTTCTCTCTGTTTATAATCATTTTATCCAAGTTTATCACTTTTTATCTTCCACTCGCTTTTCTCTTCAATGTTGTTGATGGTTTCTTTTTAAATTTTAATTGTTTCAAGTAATCAAAAGTTTTTTTTAATAATACATTATTCATTAAACGAACAGTTAATTGTTGATTAAGATCATGAATCGATCAACGTTAGACCACCGTTGAAAACCTTGAAGCACTGAACTAATGAGAATCCGTGACCAGTGTGGTTAATCCATATCGGTTACCCACTGAAGACAATGGAAGATGGTCACTCAATATCGTGGATTGGCTCAAGTTAGACATTAATACCGTTGGATTCTGGCCCAGTAATCTAGAGGTTAGACGTTCTCATACAGATTAAAGTCGTAAATAACATAAAAAACAATAAAATTGTGGGGATGGGAATTGTGGAATTACACTGTCTTCAAAATTTAAGATAAAATTAATTCATCATGAATTCATCTCTTGTATAGTTATAGATGTTGAAATGTGTTATCACTTAAGGCTACCAACTTTCGACCAGGCGACCTAAATTTTTCGACAAAATTCATTAATTGATTCCGTGAAATCATATATGTTTGTTTAGAGGTGCTTATATTCCTCTCTAATCTACCCTTATTCTGACTAGTAAATCATATCTGAGGCAAATGATATCTAAAATACTCTTTAACCATTTATTACTTTTGATCATTGTCTTCTATGTGTAAGAGAGTACATTTAACATTGTCATTTTCTGCTTAACAATTTTAAACTATCTGAACATTCTATAAAGATATTTCTATCATATATTGAGCGGCCTGCTTGAATTCCTGGGCTACCTGCTCCTACTCTCATCTAAATATTTCAACAAGTTATCTTTTTCATTTTGTTTTAATACATTATTATGTATATTAGTCGCATAACCTATTTAGGCGCGTTTGTGAAAAGTTTACGATATTTCGCTGCACAAGTTACAAAGGAGCCCAATCAGAGACATCATAGTTGCTGGCAATATGCATCGAAAAGAATATAGATTATTCAGATGTCGATTCCTGAACTGCTAACATCTAACTGGTGATCACTCAATATTTATCATCAGGATCGATCAAGAAATAAGGAAAGGAAACTCGTTGAGGTACTTTGTTCTGAGAATTCTATATTGTACCGAAAATATAATATTGAATAAAGCCGTTAATAATACATTCTATGTAAAGTAACATAAAATTCAGTCATTTCTGAATTTCGTGCAATAATTCAAAAGTAGTTTCCTCTATTCTGATTGACTCATCCTCGTGCCATACTTTTACCATCATGACCCTATGGTATGGGGGGGGCGTACAAGCTGTCTATCGATCTGTAGCAATATAAACTAGATCTGTATACTATTGATTTTTATACAAAGAACGAATTTATTTTCAATTTCTTTCTATCTAATTTAACTTCAGGCGGTGTAAAAAATACAAAGAATAAATTATCCTCATCTCATAATAATGATGTTACTGACAACAATCACAATGTTACTACTACTGCTACTCCTACTACAACTACTGGTAAATCTACTTTACGCTTAGCATCCTCTGAACCGGATTTGACAATTACTATGAGAAATTATTCACGTCAACGTGGTGATATACGTGATTTAGATTGGTCAATAATTAATAATGATGGTAATAAAAATAATAAATCATCAAAGCACAAAACTGATAAACGATCCCGTGAACATTCATTGACTTCATTGAATCATCGAATTGGTTATTTACGTCATAAAAAACTGAAACGATCTAAAAGTCAATTGAAATCAACAAATGTTTTAAATGACAGTAAAATTAATGATATACACGGTAATAATAGTTTGTTAACTTTTGGTGAAGGTGAAGATAATGATAATTCAATATTGAAAGAAACAAAACCTTCTTCTAAACTTCATTTTCGAAAAAAAATTAAAAAAACATGGCGTGGAACATGTCGTTTAAATTCACATGAAAAACGAATTGTTAATGATTTATACTTATTTAGTGCTGATAATCTCCCTGAAAAAGTTGGTAAGTAGTCAGTTTAGTTTTTTGATTATTGATATGTATATAATTCATAACAAATACCTGCAGACTTTTGCACAGTTTTATTGCACTCGGATTTCATTTCTCCAGTGAACCAAGATCATGATTTATATCAGTCAGTCAGTTAGTAACAACGTAGAACTTCGTACGTACGTACATCAGTTCGAGTTGCCACACCACATTAGCACAGAGATGCAGTTGTCGACTCAAATCCCATAGTGGTAGAGGTAATAAGAGTATAAGCAGTAATCGGAAAGATTAGGGCTTGAAGATGTTATTCAAGGAGTATAATCCAGTGAAATAAATTTGGAAAGAAAATAATGGACACGAAGAATTCAGAAGATTAGAATTTGGGAGAACACCAAGAGTGGATGCACCTGTGCCATTGCAAACGATTTTGAGCCATGTTATTCAGGGTCTCTAACCATCGGTTGCTATCATCTCGCGGTCCCTAACCAGGTTGTCTACACCTACCAACATGGCACAGTCCACTTGTCAGTGACTTCATGGACTTGTGCCATGTTTTGGTCTGGCCGCCCCTACCTTTCTTCCAACCCACTCCTACACCATAAAACATCGCACGTCGATGTAGTTGGTGGTTGGGCATACGTAACACGTGTCCCAGCCATCTCAACTGACGAAGTTTCACTACTTCATCAATTGATTTGCCATCCTTACCTAGTACTCGTTTCCTAAAAACTGTGTTACTTACTCGATGGTCTCAGGATATACGAGGAATATTTCGAAGACACCTATGATCAAATACTAGTAACCTACGGATATCTTCTACTCTTACCGGCCATGTTCCACTGCCGTAAAGTAGGACGGAACGAACTGCTGCGCAGTAAACACGTCCTTTGATTGATAGACGGATATCTCGCCTACGCCATAAATGACGCAAGTTGGCGAAAGCTAGTCGAGCCTTCTGTATCCGTGCTGAGATTTCGTCACACACTAAACCACAAGGGCTGATGAGACTTCCAAGATAAGTGAAGCGGTCGACACACTCAACTACTTCACTCCCTATCACTAGTTCGGGTGTCGATGTAACCCAATCCTGAAACAACATTTTGCATTTCGAGGGAGAGAATCGCATCCCGAACATGCTTGCATTGTTGCTTAGAGTGGTCAGAAGACTCTGCATTTTGTCAGCGTCTTCACCAAATAAAACTATGTCATCAGCATATTCTAAGTCAACAAGCGAACCTCCCGGTAGAAGTTCGACCCCAGGAAATTTAGATGAGGAGAGTGTTATCTCTAAAAGTACGTCAATGACAAAGTTGAACAAGAATGGGGAGAGTGGACAGCCCTGACGAACACCACTTGAGGTAATCAATTCTGATGACAGTTCGCTATAATAAGCTCTCACTCGACCAGTTGTGTTCGAGTATAGAGCCTTTACAAGGTTAGTGTACTTCTTCGGTAATCCTTTCAATGACAAACACTGCCACAAAACTTCACGAACATAGTCAAATGCCGCCATAAGGTCGAGAAATACTACGATTGTGGGGCGTCTGAATGTGTGTCTGTGTTCTAGAACCTGACGTAGTGTGAATATCTGGTCTATACAACCATGTCCAGGTCGAAAACCAGCCATGTTTTCTCTAGTCTGTTCTTCACGAGCTTTCGTTAGGCGTCGAAGTATTAATGAAGCTAATATTTTTGACACTATATTAGTCACAAGAGGACTTTTGTCCTTTCTTATAGACTGGCACAAACAGTGATTGAGACCAATTAGATGGCATTACGTCCAGTTCCCGAATTCTACCTAAGACTTCAGTTAATCTCACTGCTAATACTGGACCACCATCCTTGAAAATCTCAGGAGTAAACCTGTCAGGGCCTGCTGCTCTCCCTCGCTTCAGATTTCCTATGGCTTTTTCAACTTCGTAAAGAGTAAATTTAAGCTAAACTCTTTCAGGGAATTTAAATTAAATTTCTCAGTGGAAATAAATCTGTCTCTATGCACACTACCAATCACGGCTCATTTTCTTATACTTTTAAAATATATTAGTTTGTAGGCGAATACCCGAGAATCTTAGTGGTAAGCGGTGATATGTGTAGTGTCAATCAAGCACGCATTTAACAAAATGTTTCACCAATAACGTTGTGTCGGAATATCGCGATACAATAAATTTGTTGAATAACTGAATGGTACTATGATCTTCACAGTAATTGAAGTTCCTGCGTTTGATATCGTCATCGCATCGTGGGTACTTCACTTCTTTAAGAGATTCATACTAGGATAAAACTAATCATAAATATGTGATCAATTTAAAATTATTAGTTATAAGTGATTGTATAATTTGATTTATCTCTTCTAAATCATTGTTAATAGGATGATAACAGTCACCTTGGTCTATATACGTTTTGTCAACTGGTTGAAACTATTGATGGATTGTACTTGTAATTATGTGTCCTACTTCTGTCCGGGCACCCGGGCAGTATCACATCCCACACACAAGTCAAGTGACTTGTGTGGCGCATATGTAATCATTGCCCTCTTGCACCAATATTTATGTTCAAATTAAAAAAAAGATTTGCGATTATTTTGCTACTTTCTTAGTGAAAATGTTGGCTTCAGAATAGAAAGAAAAAATGTCTAGATCCAACTAGTTAATCATAATCAACTTAGGATCTGGTACATATGTGCTTTAGCTCAAGTTTCTGTGCCACATTGGGGCGTTGAGATGAAATTAATAAGATGAATTAGCAAAGGAGTAGAAGAAGGGATGAAAAAGTATCTATAAAAGTCTACTAGAACTCGATAACTAGGGTGAGACGGAAAAGTGAATGCAACTGCACCATTGTGATTGATTCAGAGCCATATTACTCGTCTCCAATCATTAATCATGAAAATCCTGTGGATCCCAACCAGGTACTGTGCACCTATCAACATGGCTTAGACCACAAGTCATTGGTTTTGCAGGATGATTTCAAGTTTTAACTTTTCCTTTCCTAGCTTTACCTCCGTCTATTCATACACCAGCTAGCATGGTGTGTCAGGATAAGAGGTGGTTAGATATACGCAACACATATTCTGGCTGTCTCAGTTAATAAATATTCAAAACCACTCCTAGTGATTGAAAACTAAGTTGCGTTCAACATCCACGTCGTTCTAGTTTATAACTTATCACCAAGATTTTCAAGTCCTACGAAGATCACAAAACCATTTAGCCATTTTGTTGAAATCCCATGGTTCATATTTTCAACCAAAATCACTTTTTGATTAATTGCAACAATCGTTCAGAATGAGATATAACTAATTCACTCCCTACTTGGCTGAACTTCAATTAGTTCCCCACTAGATCTTTAAAAATCCATCTAAAAGCTAGTTGATCGTGAAAACATTATTGCTACTTAGTCGACTGGTTTAATCTATTTTGGTGACATATTATTTTCTCATATCTATGCTTCAATATCACTTATTATGTGTTCCAAATAGCACAAAATACTCATCATGAACCCCATTGTTAGTAAGAACCAAACATATTCAATAAAGATAAGCATTCTCTGTTAGTATTTCTTGATATTTTTATAGTCTTTATCTGTAAAATGAATTTTCCTATTCGGGATAGCTACATTTCGCGTCAATAATCAATCATTTAATAGAATACAAAAGCTTATCAGATGTTTGTTTTTTAAGGCATACTTATATTCAATGCTACCTTGACGTCCCGACCGTTGTTGCTACCTTGACGTGGTGGTCGGGCTTGCCTATCGTGATGAAGCAACCGAGCTATACTGGCTGGAACAACCGTTCCTCAAGGTCCTACCATGTCAGACAGGTCGGTTGAAGAGCGGTAAGACTAAAAGCAACAAACCCAAGGTCCGAAGGCGAAGTCGTACTGCTGACTGTACAGAGGTGTGACAGCAGTAAAGTGTTTCCTTCAGACAACCAGCATGACAGCGATGCTGCCTTCCCACAAGGAGGGGTGGGGTTAGAAAAGGTCGACCCTAAAAATGCGCACCTCACCTTACCTCACGGATTTCCGTCTCCGGCGGTAAGGCCCTTTGAAGAACGGAGCTGACACGTCAAAAACCTCCCACGAAAAGGCCGTGCGCGACCGGTCTCAAGCAGTTGTCCCTTGGGCACTGCGGTCACGCTCTCAGGTCACTGAGACTGCCTCTAATCCAATTTCCTTTTCAGGTACCTCCAGAAGAACCCTTCCACGGTGTGGGCAACCGGGAAGCGATAACCGCCCTCATACCTCTAACAGCACCCAACACCACTGTATTCATAATCAACCTTCCTTTTCAATTCCTATTATTCCTCCTACATCGACTTTCAACCCTAAACTTCCTCCTTCGGCTTCCTCCTCAAGTGTCACCATAGCCAACGATTCTAGTGCTCAAAACTCTGTCCCAGGTCTACTGAAACCTCGCTCCAAACTACACATTGGAGCTTTCAACGTACGCACTCTATGTCAAATCGGTCAGCAGGCTTCCTTGGTTAAAACCCTAGAGTCTCTTTCCATTGATGTATGCTGTGTCTCCGAAACACGCATACAGGATTCTAGTGTGGTCATTCACTTGACCTCATCTCGGCAAAACGGAGAGCCAACGAGATACACCCTCCGTGTATCTGGTGACCCGATGGCCAGTTCTCGTGGACTGGCAGGTGTAGGCATAGCACTAAGCATGAGGGCGGAACAAGCACTGCTAGAGTGGATCCCCGTCAACAGTCGTCTATGTGCTGTTCGGCTAAACGGCTCCGTGAGAACTCGGAAGGATAGGGACACGCGTCGTTGCCTTTTCGTCGTTTCTGCCTACGCTCCCACTGACTGCAGCTCAGATGATGTGAAAGATGAATTTTACAGAAAGCTGTCCGAACTTCTTCAGAAAGCTAAACGCTCAGACATAGTACTCGTAGGGGGTGACTTTAATGCTCAGATAGATAGCTTAAACCAAACAGAAAGGCATTTAGGTGGATATTTTAGCATTCCAGCACAGCGAACAGATAATGGTGATCGTCTACTGCAACTGTGCTCAGACAATCGTTTATTTTTAGCAAACACAAATTTTAAGCATAAGGAGAGATATCGTCTAACGTGGCGACCGCCTGCACCAAGCCAACGATGGACTCAAATAGACCATATTGCCATCAGTCATCGTTGGAGAGGGTCGGTACAAGATTGTCGCTCATTCTGGAGTACCTGTTTGGACTCCGACCACGCCCTAATACGGGCACGCATCTGCTTGCGCCTCACTGGACGCAAAAAATCCACAGTAAAAAGACCCATTAGAACCGAACTGAGTAGCGAGGAAACCAAAAGTAGGTTCCAGGATCAACTGAGGTCACGATTAGGTAGTTCTGAAGACGAGGCTGACCCAGATGTTGCTTGGAAAGATATACAAGCAGCTGTGGAAACAGCAGTGACATCTATCAGTGATTTAAACCACAGGGTTACAAAGAACCAATGGGTTTCTTCAAAGTCTATCACACTGATGGATTCTCGCAAACTCGTCCCATCAGGTTCCGAACATGATGAAGAGCGACAACAAATCAGATCTAGGTTAAGAAAAAGTCTAAGGAACGACTGTGAGCAGTGGTGGACAACGAAAGCAAAAGAGATGGAAAAGGCGGCGACTATAGGGAACACAAGACAGCTTTACAGACTAATAAAAGAAACTGGAATTAATAAGTCAAGTGTAAGTGAGATTATATCGGAAAAAGACGATACACTCATCTGCTCCCAGTCCAGGCGTTTAGAACGATGGGCGGAACATTTCAGAGAACAGTTCAGCTGGCCTTCAGCTACTCTACAACTACCCTCCATTCCCAGACAGTGTGAATGGAACATTGAAGTAGGTCCCCCAACTCTTGCTGAAGTTCAAAAGGCTATAGTCAATCTGAAGCGAGGAAGGGCAGCTGGTCCAGATGGATTGGCTCCAGAGGTCTTTAAGGATGGTGGTCCAATTTTAGCGATTAGGTTGACTAATATTTTAGCTAAGATATGGGAGTCGGACGTAATCACATTTGACTGGTCGCAATCACTTATCGTCCTAATATATAAGAGAGGGCCAAAATCATCCTGTGACAACCACAGAGGGATTAGTTTGACTAATATGGTATCTAAAATACTAGCCTCGATAATTATCAGACGCCTAACTAAGACTCGTCAACTGCAAACACGAGAGAACCAAGCTGGCTTTAGACCTGGTCGTGGCTGCATCGACCACATATCCACCATTCGTCAGATTCTAGAACACAGGCATACTTATCGGCGTCCGACAATGGTGGTCTTTCTCGACCTGAAAGCAGCATTTGACTCGGTAGACCGCTAGATTTTGTGGCAGTGTCTGGCATTGAAAGGCGTACCCCAGAAGTACATAAACCTAGTAAAGGCTCTTTACTCGAACACTACTAGTCGAGTCAGAGCTTATGGCGAACTGTCATCTGCTTTTGCAACCTCAAGTGGTGTCCGTCAAGGCTGTCCACTTTCCCCATTTTTGTTTAACTTCATCATAGATCTACTGATGGAAATAACTTTCTCATCGACTGAATTCTCGGGTATTGATCTCCATCCAGGAGGTCCACTTATAGACTTAGAATACGCAGATGACATAGTCCTGTTTGGTGAAGACGCTGACAAAATGCAGAGTCTTTTGGTAGCACTAAGCAACAATGCCAGAATGTTTGGAATGCGCTTCTCTCCTTCTAAATGCAAGTTGTTGCTTCAGGACTGATCTGCGTCAACACCTGAACTAAGGATAGGGAGTGAAGTAGTTGAACGCGTTGGCAACTTCACTTATCTTGGAAGTCTGATCAGCCCTAATGGGCTGGTGTCTGACGAAATCTCAGCACGGATTCGAAAAGCTCGCTTGGCTTTTGCCAACTTGCGTCACCTTTGGCGAAGGCGAGATATCCGTCTATCAATAAAAGGACGAGTATACTGCGCGGCAGTCCGTTCTGTTTTACTTTACGGCAGCGAAACATGGCCATTAAGAGTAGAAGACACTCGTAAGCTATTAGCATTTGACCACAGATGCCTTAGAAATATTGCTGGCATCTGCTGGGATCACCGGTTAAGTAATAGTGAGGTTAGACGCAGGGTATTAGGGAATGATGGTAAATCAGTTGATGAGGTTGTTAATCTTCATCGACTGAGATGGTTGGGCCACGTGTTACATATGCCTGAACACCGATTACCACGACGTGCAATGCTATCCGGTATTGGAGATGGTTGGAAGAAAGTTAGGGGTGGCCAAACCAAAACGTGGCATCAGCGCTTGAAGTCACTAACTTCTAGTCTGAGCCATGTTGGTAGATGCAGACTTCTTGGTTGGGGTCCGCGTGACTATCGTAACCAATGGTTGGAGACTCTTGGTGACATGGCTCAGAGTCGATCACAATGGCGTCGGTGTATACACTCCCTGTCTTCCCTTAAACTAAGAGATTAAAATCACTTCATATCTTTCTTTCTACGAACGAATTCTTTCTTCCTGTACTATATCATTATATGCAATCTTTCTCTTATATATTACCACCTTTGACCTAACCACTGCTATAAATCCGGTGTTCATCTCGTTGTGGTGATGCGGTATGGCAACCTGGACCGATGCACATATGTGCCTGGTCCTACGTTGTAGCTGACTGACTGACTGATTCAATGCAATTGAATTTTGTTCAAATAAGTGTGAACGAAATCGAAATGTGTGAAGGACTCCTTATACATGTTTTTTAAGTCCTTAAGATACTTTCATCTTACTTCGTTTTTTATGTGTACATATCATGTCCCAGATATTGTTCCTGTTTTAATGAGTCTTATCAATATTCACAATTCACCAGAAATACTGGTTATAACATAGACTATATGTTATACAGGATTATAAGTATAAAATAGTTTATTATATATTTGATCCATTAAGTCCATCCATAATCTCTAGCAAATCACGACTCTATTTCACCTTAAATATTAGTAACTCACCATATATAGATTTATGTACTCTATGTCTTGACACAATGCCTCTGTGAGGGCTAGTGAAACTACTCGGCACCCTAACAAATGTTTGTATAGCTTGGTTCGAACTGACAGCCTACTCGTTGAAATGCAGTTACTTTAGGCTTTAAGCTCCTGTTCTATTTACATGGTACATTTTTGACTGACAGCTTTATACGTGTACGTAGTTTCTGATTTTCATTTTTATCACAAACATACAGTTTGTTTTTATTGTTCAGTAGCATTAATCTTATTTTTACCAAAATGTGAAATTTTTAGAATTTTTTTCGAAAGAGTGTTCAGAATAATTGACTGTGGCATTTTACCTTCTCAACAATCTATCTGTTTAATCATTTTTACTCAGGTCCGAACATTTACTTATCTGTTAGTCCAACAACAAATAATCCCATACCAATGTTAGCTAATGTTGTTAGACGATCACCATTATCTAGTAAATACTATCCACAACCATTGAATTTATCAACAAATTTGTCATCTAGTCAACAGACGCAACTACAACAGCATCCACCTCATGATGATATTGAATGTTCTGCGTTGACATCACCTAATCATTTAAGATATCGTCAAGCTAGATGGGCCAGTGAAATAGCATTGAATAAACGTACTAGTGGATTATTTAATATAGAACCTGGACTAGTCAATTCACTAAGTAAGTGGCGATTTTCAATTTGATGCAAGGGTTTTAGTATGTTTAGAGTTTTTCGGATGCCTTTTGTTTTGCAAAAGTGTTTGAATATAAGTTTTATCACAAAAATAAAGCCGAATTACGCTGCATTTGAAACCAGGTAACAATAGACTTGTACTTTATTCTGATATTTTCGTGTGAAGGGGTTCACAGCAATGTACATTCTGAATTTCATCGAAGAACAAACACAGGTTTGTTCCTCATTTCAAACCACTCAGCAATATAGAACTATTGTGATGTATACTACTTATGTTGACAGATATAGTAGTATGTAACACCGATCGGTAGTTGAATGCGTGCCAGAAGAAAATTGAGAAGATCCAATTAAGTAGAACGGAAAGAGAAGTTGAAAGCAATCGCAATAACAACAGAGTTGATAGACTTATGGAGCATGTAAAGGGCAAATAAAGATGTACAAATAATATATTTGATGTATGATTATCATATTTTACGAAAGCACTCTTTAATTTAGGATTAAACAATAAGTCGGTTATCTACACCTGAGTTCCAGTTCACTAAACTATCTTCATACCATATTTATGGTGAATTATTGTGTTAAAATCTCGGAAACTGTGATGAGACAGCTGCTTTCAATAGTTTTCTAGTTGATATCTGTATCACTAAAACCATGCAAGTCTTTCCAAAAGAAACTGATGTGTGTGGGCTGTGATACTGCCCGGGTGCCCAAACCGAAGCAGGTGATTTTCTTAGGGGGCCACACCCGAAGCTTTCGACCTAAAGGCCTACTCCATAAGGCAGTAGAGCGTCGTAAGGAGATGCAGTCCCATGGTAGCCAGTGACCAACAATTGGTTCATACGCCATATGTGGTTTCAGGATACTGGAGCCCATGTACGCCGTAGGTTTGGATTCAGGGTTTTCCAACTCCCCAAAGTGGACTCTCCGTGTCCACTAACCCGGTTAAAGCACCGGACATTCTCTTTTCGTCCTCTCAATTTCGTAAACAACACCGGTGGCGTGAGAGGGCGGTGAGTAGGAATTCCCTGGCAGAGGCTATATACGCGTGGCCATGTAAGAGCATTTCGAGAGGGATAGCGGACTCTCCCCACTGTTGGCCGTACCAGGGAATTCGGGGGCATTATTCATAATGTATACTTTTAATTCATTGGAAAATTTAACATAATGAATTTTAAGACTGGTAAAAGGTATCCAGTTCCAGTGAGTGACGTATTGTACCGATTCATGATTTCCAAAGTATGATGAATAGTATTACCTTCATACTTTGGTTACATCAAACATGTCCATTTCTTAATTGCTTTTTCATACATCATTAAATAATCAACAATCAAATGCGTCATGTTACATATGAAAATCACCAAATGTTGGGAAAAAGTTAGGGACGGCCAAACCAAAACATGACATCATATCATCAAGTCATTGACTGTTGAACTGAGCCGTATAGGTAGGTCCACATTACCTGATTGAATTCCCCATGATTGTCTTAACCAATGGTTAGCGAGGTTGACTGACAAGCCACAAATACATTTGATCTTTTTTCCCCTTCAAATTTTGGTTTTTAAAATTAGATTATACATTCTGTCCCATGAATTCATTCTTCTCAAAACATATTGGTTGTGATTTAAGATCATATGATCCATTCCCTAGTCAGGAATCCGATTGTCCATTAAGTCACGTATATGGTCAATAGGACCAGTGACCTTCTATTTTAGGAATTACCTAACCGTTCAATAAACTACAATCAAGGCATTAACACGTATTAGTCCTCAAACCTTTTCTAACCCTGTGGCCATTTAGAAGACACAAATAGGAAGCAGATTAGTTATCAGTTGTGCTCGATTCATTCATTGCTCAAAGTGCATACATTAATGTATTTAAAATGACTGACTACACGACACACCAAACGAGGGATTACACGTTAAGCACAATCATACCATAAGTGGTAGGGGGGAGCAAACAGTACATAATTAATTAGCAATAGCTCAGGTATATTAAAACGCTCAACAAAGGTTAATGTGTTTACTGAAATCTTACATTAAGAAACATATAGAAATGAAACAATAATGTTGTCTACTAATCACACAAAAAATTATAAAAATAATAATAATAATCCGAAAAATGGTTCCGAATGTTCCGATTTTTCCAATATCCATCGCCGTATAACAATATTACATATGCCTAATGTTTTCTGCAGTCACTAATACCGTTACTCTTTCTACTACTCTATTATCTTGCTGTACTGAAAGTTGTGTAGCAACGTGAACAGATACACGTATGGCTGGCTAACTGAAACGTTGAGAAATGAGAATAGGTGTAAGAAAATGAAATTTCTTTCATGCTATTTACGTACATTGTGGTGTCTTTTTTGATAATATGCAAATTCATTTAGACAGTATATTCATAACCCTATAAATCTTTTTAGTGCTTTTATCAACGAAAAAGTTCGCATTTTCATTTTACTGATTTCCATATGCTACTTAATTAACACTAGACTGATGAATTATCGCTACAGATTTATCTCCATGTTTGTTTGTATTTACATCATAGTCATACATCGTTCATTGTATATTCAGCTCATTAATTTGTTGAAGATTATGGTGATCGATTACGGTTTACGGTCACTTACATATTTAGTAGTTGAATTCATGAATCGACTCATGAATTCAACCATCAAAATTACTACAAGATTCACAAAGTCCATTCTGATCATAATTACAACTTTATCAGCATCATTTAGAACACTGTAATCAATAGACAGAAACCCACTGTATATTTATCTTTGTATATTCATAAGGCTAAATTGAAAAAACGACTTTCACATTTTATTCGAAAATAACATTTTTACTGTATACATGTAGATAAAAGAGTGACTGTATATCATACAATCACCTTGACCTAAATTATGTGTCCAACATCCGAAGTTCAAACCATTAGTAATAAGTCAGTCAAAAATCATGTAAATCATTCTTCAGTGATGTTTGGGTATAATCGTCCATTATTACATATTGATTAAAGTATAGTAACGTCAATTGTTAATTACGGATCTATCGACTGGCCGTGATGATTTGTTTATTCTCGATAGAGGTTTATGGTGTACAGTGTTGTATGATGCCGAACATGAGTGATTAAGACATCTTTTATTCCATATCGTTTTATTATTCAAATCACTATCGAACGAATTTAAAACACTAACTTAAACCACACTAGAATCACGAACCGACTTAAACTAGACGAATATTGAAAACCTAGAAGCACTGGACAGCCGTTTCTCTAGAGTGGAGGACTCCCCAGCAGTGAGTATCTATGACCCCACAACCGGGAGTCGAGCCCAGAACATTCTATTCCCGCCCACGAACCCTTAGCCTTTAGACCACTGAGCTGTAATCGAATACTGTACAAGTCTAACTTCGATCAATCCACTATATTGCTCTATCACGTTTCTATACTGACAATCGACTTAAACACTTTATTCTTATAGATCGTCTCACATTTTTCAAGATTCTTTTCATGGACAGTTAATTTACTAATATTTTAATTAATGCTATGAATTGCCTGTCTTCATTTTTAAAAGTAACATTGTTCATCTTTCATAACTACAATATGTAGTTTACATTGCTTATACTACTCATCACATGTCTAGCTTATTTTTGTTTGACTATAAATATCGACTCACGCTTAGTTAAATCGAGTTAGCTCACACGCCTTCGCCACTGCGCATCACTTCGTTTCGCTTCGCTCTCTCCGCTTCGTTTCCCTTACTGTCTGTTCAGACCAACAACTGTACGAAATATACGTATTCAAACCTCTTTTTCGTATTAGACTTATTTAATTCGGTTATTCACTAACGCGATTTAAGTCGATGATTATATACAAAGATTGACGGCATGCATTTTTCGATAGCAATCATCATGTGATATAACTGGAGTCAGATATTGAGCCACCAAAATGATCATCCTGACATGCGAACGTGACGCAATTTTCGATGATACGATCTTACTGGAGTCACATACACAAGTGCCACACGGAAAATCTATGTAATTTATTAAATAATTGAATAGGAAAATTATTCAACTCCATCTAGTTTTAAATTAGATTAGAAAATGTTGCTTATACATGGTCTTTGATACAACACACTAACTTATTTTTCATTTTCCGATCGTTATCTCTGTATGACTTGAATCATTTATTTCATTTTCTTATCAATTTCTACATTAATAAAACAAAGATTGAATAATGACAGTTTCTTTGATTTGATTGTACGCTGAAAAAAATTGATTTGTTTACTTTTGTTCTGTTTAGTGATTTTATATTTAATATTTTTCTTGCAACTAGTAGTATCCTAGTAGGCAGAAGTATGTTTAATTTCTCCTTTTTATCTTTTTGGTTGGAAAGTATGTAATCTTCAAATACAACTTATGTAAAAAGAAGTAAATATCAGTTCTGATAAATGACTGTTATATTAAATTATTCAATATGATCAGAAGGGGTTTTGTGGAGATTCTAGTAATTTCAATAGTTGAAATCATGAGTCAATTGAAGCTAGACCACCATGGAAAACCTGGAAGCACTGGACGGCCGTTTCGTCCTAGTATGGGACTCTATCCACCATCCCGCCCGCCATGAGATTCGAACCCAGGACCTATCAGTCTCTCGCGCGAGCGCTTAACCATTAGACCACTGAGCCGGCATCCAACTTTTACTCATTGAATTTCACTATAAATTGTGTTTAGTTTCAAATATTCAATTCATAAATTCGAATTATTTTAACTGATATACAGTGAATTACCTTAGATATATTTCCAATTATACTGAGGTCATCATCAATAAAGCTTCCATTATTAAACTGGTCTCTTTATCCTAATTAGTGGGACAGGGAGGAAGAGGAGCTGCGAAATATATGAAACGTGTCACTTTTACAAACATTCTAATTACGTAAAGAGGTTCATTTTGTGAATTTATTCTTGTTAAATTTACAAGTGAACAATTT